GTTTTTAATAGTCTGATGCTTTTTATTTCCTTGCCAAGTATGTTGTGAAGATTAATGATAGAAATGAAAGGTGCTGGTAGAATAGAGTAGTCTTTGTTGAAAGCCTCATCACATGAAATAAAATCTATTATAAATGTGTTCTCTGTGTGTAAAACTATATGGTTAATTTTTTAGGGAGTACTTACACATAAAAAGTATAGACCTATATTCTCCCTTTTGCTGAAATATGTTCCATATTTTAGAGGTTAGAATTTCTAATATGATAGAAATAAGAAACCTAATGACATTTTTGTCAGGAATATTTCATTGCTTTCCTATGTCAGGAAAGGTGAATGCAGCTTGGAAAAAAGCGAGGCAATTAATTAATCTAATATGATAGAAATAAGAAACCTAATGACATTTTTGTCAGGAATATTTCATTGCTTTCCTATGTCAGGAAAGGTGAATGCAGCTTGTTAAAAAGGGAGGCAATTAATGGCATAATCAGATAGTATGTGTTTGCATATGCCATTTGGATGTTACATTTAGAAAGACTTTAGGTATACTTTGGAAAGGCAGGTGGGGGATTTTAAAGTACATAACCTGTAAATCAGTCCATTCAGTCCAACCATTTATCTTGCATGGGAGGAGGGATAGAAATTCTACTAGATTTTTACATACAAAAAGAACATTAGCCATTTAGCATTTCTTTTTTGGCTTGTTAAAAGATTGTAGGTAGATGCTTGGTTTATTATATCTTGTGTACTTCAGGATATGAAGGCATTGAACAATAGGCAGTATATAAAGATCTAGGGAATGAAGAAAAAGTTTGGATCACAGGCAAAAGGAATAAATTACAAATAATTTGAGAAATATATCCTGAAAATTAGGTTAAACATTCTTTTTTTTTCTTTTTTTTAAATTGAGTTTATTGGTACAATCTAGGTATACAATACAGTTACATTCATCATAGGTTTATTATCTTGTGTACTTCAGGATATGAAGGCATTGAACAATAGGCAGTATATAAAGATCTAGGGAATGAAGAAAAAGTTTGGATCACAGGCAAAAGGAATAAATTACAAATAATTTGAGAAATATATCCTGAAAATATTA